ACGAAATGTCGTGTCTCGCAGGACCACGGTGCTACATACAAGTTAAACATAAATATAAACATAGAAGTATAAGAAACAATTTAGGTGACTATACATACTTTACAAAACTTTACAAAAACTATACAAAACTTTACATAGATACTGTAAATGGAATTGTGCAAAAGAGGTATTTTGTACATGAAATTGTGCAAAAGAGATATTTTAAAGGAAGCAGCGCATAGTGCAAGATGATTTGTAGTGCAATGCACAAGTAAACATATATTATCAGTCTTTGTGTGAGAGAGTGTCTATAAAAAGTGTTCAGTGTACATTCATGGAAAAGTTACTACAGGTGGTTTGTATAGCCCACTCACCTGTGTGTGGCACACTCAGAATTGCACTTAAACAGATTGTCAGTTTGTTTTTTTTTTTCCTGGGTTTTTCCATGGGGAAAAAGCTGTTGAGCAATCTGACAGAGTGAGCTTTGATACTCCAGTACCTTCTACCTGATGGCAGGAGCTGGAAGAGATTGTGGGAGGGATGGGAAGGGTCCTTCACGATGCTGGTAGCCTTGCTGGAGCATCGTGCAAGGAAAATGCCCAGGATGGAGGGGAGAGGGGCACCGATGATCTTTGCAGCTGTGTTCACTGTCCGCTGTAGGGTCTTGCGGTCAGCAGCACTGCAATTTCCATACCATACAGTGATGCAGCTGGTCAGCACACTCTCAATGGTGCCCCTGTAGAAAGTGCTGAGGATGGGTGGAGGGAAACTCGCTCTTTTTAGCCGGCGGAGAAAGTGGAGGCGCTGTTGGGCCTTCTTGTTGAGTGACATGATGTTGGTGGTCCAGGTGAGATCCTCTGTAATGTGCACTCCCAGGAATTTAGTGCTGCTGACTCTCTCCACGGCCGAGCCGTCAATGGTCAGTGGGGGGTGGTCAACAGAGTTTCTCCTGAAGTCCATCAAGAGCAGCGGGCTGAGTACACAGCCCTGTGGGGCACCTGTGCTCAGTGTGGTAGTGCTGGAGGTGTTGCGGCCGACACGGACTGACTGAGGTTTTTCAGTTAAAAAGTCCAGGATCCAATTACAGAGGGGTAAGTTCAGGCCCAGCAAGTTTAGTTGTTGATAAGCTGCTGAGGGATTATTGTGTTGAATGCCGAGCTGAAATCGATGAACAGCATTCTAACATAAGAGTCTTTCTGTTCCAGGTGAGTAAAAGCTAGGTGGAGAGTGGAGGATATTGCATCGACCGTGGAACGGTTTGGACGGTATGCAAACTGAAATGGGTCCAGTGTGTTTGGGAGGCTGGACTTGATGTGGTGCATGACTAACCTCTCAAAGCACTTCATCACGATTGGGGTCAGTGCTATGGGACGATAGTCATTCAGGCAGGACACAGGTGACTTCTTTGGTACTGGAATTATGGTGGTGGATTTGAGACACGTGGGGACGACTGCCTGGCTCAGCGAGGTGTTGAAGATATCTGTTAGGACATCTGTCAGCTGTGCAGCACAATCTCTTAGTACACGGCCAGGTATGTTGTCAGGTCCCGCAGCCTTACGTGGGTTGATCCTGGACAAGGTCTTTCTTACGTCGGCTGGAGAGAGACAGAGCACCTGGTCGTTTGGAGATGTGTGTAGTTTTTGTGCAGGTGTGTCATTCTGTATCTCAAATTGTGAGTAGAAGTGGTTGAGTGCATCGGGCAGGGATGTGTCATCGTCACTGGCCTGTGGCAGGGGCTTGTAGCCAGTGATGGTCTGAATGGCTTGCCACAGGGTCCGGGTGTCTTTACTGTCACTGAAGTTATTGTTGATTTTTTGAGCATGTTGATGTTTTGCCTTCTTGATACCATGAGACAGATCAGCTCTTGCTGTTTTGAGAGCTGGCTTATCTCCTGATCTGAATGCCTCATCTCGGATTTTTAGCAGCCCGCGAACCTCAGCTGTCATCCATGGCTTCTGGTTGGCCCGTGTGGTGATGGTCTTGGTGACTGTCACATCATCTATGCACTTTTTGATATACGCAGTCACTGTTTCAGTGTACTCTTGTAAGTCTGTGTGATTGTTGTAGGTGGCTGCCTCTCTGAACATGTTCCAGTCTGTGTCCTCGAAGCAGTCCTGCAGTGCTGAGGTAGCATCATCTGGCCATACTGTGATCTGCTTTTGAACCGGTTTGGCAAGTTTGAGACGTGGTCTGTATGCTGGAATCAGCATAACAGAGATGTGGTCTGAGCATCCGAGGTGGAGGCGGGGTGCAGCCTTGTATGCGTTTTTCTCTGTAGTATAAACAAAGTTTGTTGCTCGCTGATAGCGCTGTACAGTTTGCTTACATTTAAATAGGGACTTACAATATTTTGAATTTTGAATATTTAATAGTCAAGATGTTACAAAAAGTTCTCGTAGAATTTTCGGAATTAAAACTTTCTTTTTATTTCCAGTTTTAAATTTTTAAAAATCCCAGATTTTCAATGTGGTCTCAGACTTTTGGACCCCACTGATATAAATTCTGTCATGTCAGTGCCCTTAATGGAACAGAAACTACGTTTCCCATCAGCCAAAGCACTTCACATGGTCTGGTCAGGTGTCTGTATGATTACCTGCACATGTGTCCTGTTTCACCTAATTATTAACACTATTTAAGTTCCAGGTTTCTCTGTGTGTCTTTGTCAAGTGTTTGTCACATGTAAACTGTTGTCTCCTCTAGTCTGTGTGTTTCTCAGCTTGTAATCATAGTTCCTGTTCATGGTTGTTACTTCCACATTGTTTATATATTTGATAATAAATAGTCTGCACTTGCATCTGCCTCCATATCCAGTGCCTGACGTTCTCGTTATGAGATTATGATAAAACAAATATAACATTATTAAGCATATTTCTAGTTAAGAAAAACCCTGTCTTGGCGTGAGCAGAATACCAATTTCCAAAATTTATAAGCATATAAGCAAACTCTTCTGTTATTATGCGTATGTAATAATATGCTAGTGGCATCTTTAGGTATGACATGGGGGTGAGAACAGGGGTGCCGTAACGGGGGAGAGGATTAGGACGATTCTAAGGGCCCTGGTCACACAGGGGGCCCAGCAGAACCCCATACTTTGGCGTATGATTTTGGTATTTAAATTGCCTCTTTGCACAATAATCTATTAGGACACACGCTATAATAAAAGCACCCCTCTGTGCCAAGAGCGTGTGTGTCCCCTTAAGACGTTCGCGGGTTATTCAGAAACGCGGCACTTCACAGACCGGTTCTGAACTTCGCGCATCATTCAGGTAGATGGCAAGACTCAAGAGATGGTGCAGCCAAAATCAGGATACCAAAAGAGGAAAGAAAAGCACGAAAAAGAGGAGAGAGCGAGACGGGGAAGACAGCTAGTCACCCAGTTTTTCAAAAAAAAAAAGGTGATTTATTGTTCCCCGTTTTATGTTATGATTCTGAAGCTAGTCTTTATGAAGCTGTTTTAAGTAACATAAAATAGAAATTCTCTCAGTTACTCACCCCGGTAACTATCCACTGGAAGTTGTAACAATATTTCCATGCAATCGAACAA